GGTGTACGGATTCTCCATCTTCATGTTTTTGCATTCCTATGTTTCTCTACCATGTGAATTAGGAAGTTTTATTTATCTCTCAGTGCTTTCCAAAATTCACAATCTCATCAGGCTTCCTTCCTGTGTGGGTTTTCTTTTGTATAATATGATGAGGTGTGTTTTCTTGCTGAAGGCTTTTCCACATTAGTGCTTTTATGGGATTTTCCTCCTACATGAACTTAGAGAGAGTCAGTGAGCTCTGATGTCGAAAGGTAGGTGTTCCTGTGTGTTTTTCTCGGTGTTTCTCCCAGTGTGAATTCCCCGATGTACGATACCTGTTGACTTCTAGTTGAAAAGGTTTCCACATTTTTTACATATTTGTGGTTACCCCCACACTGTGCTCTGTGACTTACAGACAGTTTGGATGATTTCTGAGTAGAACTTTTCTAAATTTAGAGGATTTCCCTCCAGTGTGAAGTTTCTGCCTTAGAGTCCTGGCTTCCTACTGAAGACTTTCACACACTCCCAGCATTTATTTGTTCATACCCATCTCTTTGGTATGAATGGTGTGAATGCTTTGCTACTCAGCAGGTTCTGGTACCTTCTTACCAGCATCTCACATTCAGTCCACCTGTATATGACTTCCAAGCATGCACCACCTGGTGTGTGGTAGGGAACCCTCTATTACTAAAGGTGTTATTATATGTGAAGAGAAACACTTGTGAGGTTTCTATCCTTTATGAACTCTCTAATGTATACAAAATCTTGACTCCCAGAAGAAGGCTTTTCCTTAATCAGTGTGTACATAAGATCTCTCTCTTTGATCATTTGATGTTCAGTGGGGGACTGACAAGTTCCTGAAGGTTTTCTCATGCTACACACATGCATAGTTTTGCCTTCCTTCTCTGAGGTTCAATCAATTGGAATCCTTGAATAAAGGTTTGTTGTTGTTTTCAAATCTCTGGAATTTATAAGGCATTCTGCCTGTGTTGTTTCTTTTGTGCTGAATAAAAACTGGGCTATACTTGCAGGCTTTCTCATATTTGTTGCCCTTGAATGATTTCTCCCTCATATGAATTATGTGTTCCAGTGAAAATGGGGCTCTGGATTGGAGGCTTCCACGGTATAATCACAATATTTTTCTCCAGTATGAGTTCTCTAAGGCAGAGAAAGATTATATTTTGATAAAAACTTTTACTTACCTATTTTTTAGGTAATCACAGGTTATCACCTGTGTCCAATGTGTTGAGATTTGTATCAGCAGAGCCTCTCTTATATTATATTCTTTTTAAAAAATCAAATATTTATTTATTTTTGCGAGAAACAGAGCACATGTGGGGGAGGGGCAGATGGAGAGAGAGACACAGAATCAGAAGCAGGCTCCAGATTCCAAGCTGTCAGCATAGAGCCTGACACAGGGCTCAAACCCATGAACTGCAAGGTCCCTACCTGAGCCAGTTGGTACCTAACTGACTGAGCCACCCAGGCACCCCTTATGTCTTTTCATTAATGTGAGGTTTTGGACACATCTATTACATTTACTATAGCTTTGTCAGGTTTATTACATTTTGTGCTCTTTGGAAATTTCCCACCAATTCACTTACGTTCATCGTCTCTCACTCAGTGACTTCTTGTTGAATAACTATAACTTCTCCCAAAAGTTTGACTTGGGTTCTCTGCTGTTTTTTTTAATGTGGTTACCAATTTGCAAGAGTCCCCTAAACTGGAATAAAATGCACAATTCCAGTGAATCTTCCCACCATCATTTTATAGAATGAAACCTTTTCAGAAATACTCTGTTATAGTGACACCTTTTTTTCCCCCTAAACATGAAAAACTTCCAAGTGTAAATATTTTCCATCTCTTGGGATTTGAGGAGGGAAACATGCTGCAGTGTGGACAGAGTACTGACAGCTACAGGGAGCTGGGGGTTTCAGAGATGTGGAACATTCAGAGATGTTTAGCCTGTGGAGCAAAAGGTGGGAACCAAGGCGGGATACTGCTCTGAGAGCAGAGAGGCTGAGGGGAGACCTGGATGGGAAAGGCAGTTGAGGATGTACAGAGGCAGATTAGTGAAGGGGCCGGGTTTAGACACTCTAAGCCTCACTGCTTCATTCGTGGATTCCAGTGATGGGGTACTGACTAGTCTCTGCTTCTTGCATCTTTCCCCTCCATCCTACATACCAGTATCAAAATCATCATTCTGGGGTACCAGCTTCCCACATTTATAGGAACATTGCTATGGTCCCTGCCCCCTCCCAGCACCTGTATCTGGCTGCGATTCATTATCATATTCACCTGCAAACTGACACAGAAATAGTGGGAAGGGCATGGCAGTCTGGCCCCGCTTACTGTTCACTGATATAATCTGGAAGACTAAGTATTATGAGGTTATTCTACCAGGGCTCTTGAATGTTGAACTTACCCATAGTATCAACTTCTTAGTTTTTTTTTTTTGTTTCTTTTTTTGTTTTTTTTCCTATTCTGATTTGCCAGACAGGGACATTTCCCATGGTCCACAGACTCTGTCTTGCCCCTGACACTGTAGATTTCCTTCAGTCGGCTTTCACAGCTAGAAACTGTACAGTGTCAGGGTTAAGACTTCTTGAGATCAATCTCAGCTCTGCCACTCACTAGATGGGTGGCCTGGGGCAAGATGATTAGCCTCTCGCACAGTCGCTGACAGCCTGCAGAGACGCCCAAATCATTGACCCCGTTTACCTGTGCTGACCCTCCTTGCCCTACAGTCACTACCCATGAAGACCCCACTCATTAAACAAACCCCTCAGCAGGACCACTCCCAAGACCCCAGCTCGGAGCCCTCAAATAGCACTCCTTCTTCAAGACTTCTCTCTAGAGAAATCTGCACTGTATTTCCCTCATAAAAATATGAATTCTTCAACCAGGCTCCTAGTGACAGGTTTAGGTTTCTTCTAAGCCCAAGGGTATTTTTTCCGGGGACAGAGAGTCTTTTTTTTTTTTTTTTACATTAAACAATAACTTCCTTTGAACTGTCCATGTGAAAATAAATAACTATAGCTTCAAAGATATAATCATAAAATAACTTGGTTACTATGGTCGAGAAACCGAAGACAAGCTTTGAAAATATCTTCTGTGAAGGGGATCACACTATAAAATGTGCTGTAGCATCTTGAATAGAAAAAAAGATGTGCTTTGGTTTTGATATGCAGTATATGGTATCAGCATTCTGCTGGTGGCAGTGCTGCATTCTGTATGTATTTTTGTTCTACAATGCCAAGTTTGTTAACCATGCTGTACAATTCCTTTATATTATACTGATATTTCATTCAATAACTTAAGAAAAACAAAAGACCAGAAAAATGGCTAAAAGCCCATCAGGACAAAGACATATGCCACACCCTTAAACAGGCCATAGCAATGCCTCTTAAGCTCCACTCAGAGATGCTAGTTAGACTAGGCTAGTTGTTAGTGAATTCAACTGTGAAGGAAAAGGATATGTACAAAGGACTGAAATAAATCCTTAAAATTTTGGTCTAAAGGTGCTGAGGCACCTGACTCGGTTGAGCCTCTGACTCAGGTCGTGATCCCAGGGTTGTGGGATTGAGCCCCACATCAGGCTCTGTGCTGAGCATGGAGACTGCTTAGGATTCTGTCTCTCCCTGCCCCTCTTCCTTGCTCTCTCTCTCTCTCAAAAAAAAAAAAAAAATAGCATTTAAAAATAAAATCTTTATTAAAATGGAAAATTTTGAAAATCTTCGTTGACATTCTTCCCAGCATTAAAATCAACTTCTAATTATTCTCTTGAGGGGCACCTGGGTGGCTCAATCAGTTAAGCATCTGACTTCAGCTCAGGTCATAATCTCATGGTTCCTGAGTTTGAGCCCCGTGTTAGGTTCTGTGCTGACAGCTCAGAGCCTGGAGCCTGCTTCGGATTCTGTGTCTCCCTCTCTCTGCCCCTCCCCCTTTCAGGTTCTCTCTCTCAAAAATAAACATTAAAAAGATTTAATTATCCTCTTGAGTGAAGTGAAAGAAAATAAAATTTTGAGATAAGAAATTATTTTAGAAAAACATAGTTTATTTACTGGGCCAATCTATATTTAAAAAATTTTTTAATGTTTATTCATTTTTGAGAGAGAGAGAATCTGAAGCATGTAGAACTACTCTGCTTGGCAGAAACTGTTAATGGCTATTGGTCTGTTTCTCTGGCTACCAGCCTTGGCTTTCTGCTTTTGGAAAACCATGAGAAGGGCAGTCTTAGTAATCACTCATTTAGCCTGTGTCCGGGACTTGCCATGGTTATCAGGCTGTGCCCATGATATGCCCCAGGGAGGATACTTGTTAGTGAAACCATGATTCTTGCACTCCTAGGCTAGAGGAGTGCCCTGAGCCCCTTTCCACCTTCCTGCCCAGGGCCGAAGAAAGGTCTTCTGGAAGACATGAGCATGGAAAACCATGCTTGGGACACTGTTGCAAGACTGGGGACTTGCCACATAGCCTTCCACCCATCAATAGCCACATCAGCCCAACCCAGCATCTGGAGCCTAGCAGTCCTCTAGGGTGGCCCAGAATGTGTCCATTAAGGAGGGGGCTGAGTGCAGCAGGTAGGCGTGTCCTGGAGCTACACTGCCTGGGCCAAGTCCTTGAATCATGCTACCAGCTGGGCAAACTTGACACGTTTTTAAACCTCTTTGTTCAACTTCAAGTCAGGATGGGGCAGTCCCATGTAATTGTGAGGACTGAGTTAATATACACTGTATATTGTTGTAAGAGTACTTACAACAGTACCTGGCATGAGGTACATTCTCAATGTCAACTGCTATCTTTGGTGACTGGGAATCTTTATATCCCACAGCCTGAACACTATGCTTTCTGGGGCCAGAAACCTTTGGTCACTGTGGGAGCTAGGACCAGACCGGCCATCTGAAGAAAAAAACACTCACAAGCACTACATTCTGGCCATGTCTTAGTAGATAACCACGCAACACAAATGCACTTTGTGCCTCTTAGAACACTGTGTGCTCTTCTCATTTATTTCCAGAAAGACACATTCTATGGCAACAGTTTTTAATGGTGAGGAGCAGTAGACAGGGCAGCACACAGAATGGGGAAGAACACACCCCAGTGACCAAATCTTGGCACTTGCCAAGAATGGTCATCATGAACACCACTGAGGTCATGGGTGATGGCAAACAATCAAATCTGTATTTTTTTCTCCCTTCACAAACCGGTACAAAAATACTAAAAGTAAAAATATTACCAAAAATATATTTAGCAGGAAGGGAGGTGGGCCAGGAAGCTGGGACCCCTCCCACTGCGGGCTAGAGTGGGGTGGAGTGTTTGACATTGCCACATTGCCTTGCTGGCTAATCCAGTAGGACAGAGCGCCAAGGGGATAAGGCAGGAAAGGAGAGGAATGAAGACAGCCGGAGGCTCTGCACTCTAAGACTAAATTCATGTTTAAGGGAATTGTTTTCTCAACTGAAGACGCATGTAGTTTAGGGCTGTTTTGTTCCAAGACTCCAAGGCTCCGGCACAGCAACCCGGGAGCCTGAGTCTGCTGAGGAGCAAGGTGCCATTCACTCTAAAAGCAGTTGCTGCATGTGGACGAAGGCAATGTCTTGGACACACACTGCTAACAGAGCTCAGCCAACTCGGGTGGAGAGGGAGAACCCGGGTGCAAACTCTATGAGCTGGAGATGGGAAGACCTGACAAGAGCATGAGGGGAATTTGAAAGGGGAGATTGGAGCAATTATTTCTCCTCCAAGATCTGATAGCTTCAGGGGTTGTTCACGGGAGCCCAAGACAGTGAAGAATTTAATGTCTAGGTGCTAATCCTCTTCTCAAAAATGCTCCCCTCTGGGCTGGGTGGAACTGGCCCTTCCACAGTAGGCCAGGAGAGCTCTGATGTGGGAGGCGGGATCTGGGGCTGCTTCTCTGGCTCTTCTTTCTGTAGTCCAGGTGAGGGCGTGGGGGGATTGGTGCATTCATTATCTTGAGATGACAGTCGTGGGTGTGCTGGGAAGTCTGTGCACTATAAGCAGGGCAGGCAGTAATCTCAGATTGAGGGCCTCTAGGCTGCACAGATTCCAGTGCAAGAGTAGCTGTTGGAGCAGCTGGAAGGAATGAGGCGCTTAAAGGGCAGCAGGACTTGGCCCTGGCTCAGCTGCAGGAATGTGACACGTGGCAAGAGCTCTCATAAAGAACACATAAAATGGACAAGATGCTCAGTGGGGCAATGTCCCACAGGGAGTAAGAGGTGATCATTAAGACCAGGCATGCCATGTGGATAGTACTGAAGGCAGGTGTCTGGCAGTGAATACGGTTTTCCAAGTTTATTATGGACTCTGGGATTGCTGGCCCCTGCAAGACTGTAGATGAACACATGTGGCCCAGGGTACAAATAATTCCAAGCAACTTCCTGAAATGCTGCTTCACCTGAAGCCTAATAGGGGAGAAAGTTGAGTTACTCATCACCTGCCCACACTAGTGGCCTTCACTTGACTGAAGCTGAATTTAGAGAAGTTAGGCTTTAAAGTCGCTGGAAGCTTCCAGGTCTATATTCAACTTGGGAGTCGAGGTGCAGCCTTTGCAGGGCCAGTGGGTTCCCCAACTTGATGGAGAGCACACCCACAGATCAAGAAGCTGCCACTCTGCCTCCTGGAACAATGGCTGAGTTGCTCTTCCACATTCATAATGTGGGATGTTCCAGTCTGGAAACGTGTGGGCTCTCCATTCCTTGTGGTAGGGAAGGGGACAGTGCTACCAGAGGCTGTGTGTGTGAAGGCACACACGTTACTTTATCTCTGATTTCTACTGATGGCACTGATGGTAAAGGAACTATCCCTGCAGGACTAAAGTATCATGAAGACTTTTGGGTATGGACCAGGAACCATCATAATGCTGTTGGCCACTTCTTGACCCATGGAGTTACTCCACATGTAGCTCACCACTGTCAGAATAGGACAATCCTTAAACACTGGGATACCCAGACAGAGGAGAGGAAATGCCCACTTTCAAAGGCAAAAGCAGAAATTCAAAGCCGCTTTCCCCATGAACATAGTCAATACCTTCAAAAAACTGGACAGAAGGGCAGGGGCCAGGATGCTCTAATGCAGTGGACACAGGGGACTGCCAGCCAAGGGGGAACAGAGGTGGTCAGAACCTTTGAGAACTGGCTTTGGGCCTCTAACTTCCTGTGTCAGTTGCATGTCAGGCGACGGCAAGTCACAGAAGTGGAGGTGACCCAGACCACCACGAGGTAGTTGGACCATCACACCTGAAGCGGATCATGTCCCTAACTGCTGTGTGGGGGGGAACTACAGTGTGGAACAGCTGGAGGGGCATGTCTACACACACTCAGCCCCTGCTTTCGATACCATCCCAGTGTCAGAGTCAAGCTGAGGCCCAGAGGGACTGGGTAACTCAAGAAGTCTGACTGACCTCTATCTCCCAGGGGTCCCAAGTCCTGAAAGCTGGGTCTGTGTGAAATATCCAGAACCGTGGACTGTGTATGAGGCCAGACCCCCATATTCCCCAAGGGCAAGTGGGGAGATAATAAGAGACATGATGTCACCACTTAGGAGATGCTAAATCAAGAGGGGACACACCATTCAAATGAGCTGTCCTGGAAGGAGAATACAGGTAAGTGCAGTGGACACGTAAGTCAGGAGCATCTGACAAAAGGTGGTTTGAAGTAGAAGGTGGGAAACACCATTTGAGTCACTCCTGGCCCAACGTGCGAGTGACTGCACTTTCCTTACACTCGGTTTCATCAGGGTCGGTGAGAATAAAAGGGTCCCATTAAAAGTGGAAACCCTCTTACATAAGAGAATCAAGTAGTGTGAAATGCTCAGAGGCCATCTTCTTACTTTTTTGTTCCTTTGCTTCTTGACCTGAATTTTTACCATTTTATAGTCTCTCTTAATAGTCGAAATGTAAATCTGATGAACTAATTTCTTTGTGGTTAATGAAGCTTCATTTTGGTTATGATATTTGACAATTCAGTAAAACATTACTGCTATTCAACGGAGGCAGTTCTGAACTAGGAGAAGTGCATGCTGTTCTTAAATTCTCAAACCCATAACACAGTGAATAAGACCATCTTCGGGCAAGCTTTCATGGCTATTTCCTGGAATGGATTCTACAGTCAGTACCTACTGAATGTAGGTAACATGTTTAGCCTCAAAGGTCTGCCATATAAACTACAGTCATATCACTTTTCTCCAATATGATGTTTCTGATGCTGAATGAGGTTTGCAGTCTGGTTGAAAGCTTTCCCACACTTAGTACATTTATAGGGCTTCTCTCCTGTGTGAATTCTCTGATGTTGAGTAAGGTGTGTGCTTCGAATAAATGCTTTCCCACAGATTTTACATTTGTAAGGTTTTTCTCTAGTGTGGATTCTCTTATGTTGAGTGAGGGCCGAATGGTCACTGAAGGCTTTTTCACATATATTACACGTGTACGGTTTTTCCCCAGTATGAATCCTCTGATGCTGGGCTAGGGCAGATTGGTCCCTGAAGGCTTTCTCACACAAACCACACCTGTAAGGTTTCTCCCCAGTATGAATTTTCCGATGTCGAGCAAAGGATGAATTATCCCTGAACGCTTTCCCACACTCACTACACTTATAAGGTTTCTCTCCGGTATGAATTCTCTGATGCTCAGTAAGGGAAGAGTTCACCCTGAAGGCCTTTCCACATTCATTACATTCAAAGGGCTTCTCTCCAGTGTGAATTCTTTGATGCTGAAGAAAACTTGTACTCTGATTGAAGGCTTTCCCACACTCATTACATTTATAGGGTTTCTCTCCACTGTGAATATTCTGGTGTTTGGTAAGATGTGCCCTGCATACAAAGGCTTTGTCACATATGTTACATTTAAAAGGTTTCTCTCCAGTGTGTATTCTGTGATGGTGGGCAAGGTGTATGTTTCGGATAAAAGCTTTTCCGCATAAGTTACATTCGAAAGGTTTCTCTCCGGTGTGAATTTTCTGGTGATAAGTAAGTGAGGAGCTCACCGAGAAGGCCTTGCCGCATTCCTTACATTCGTACGGTTTCTCGCCAGTGTGAATTCTTTGGTGATGGATAAGGTGTGTACTCTGGTGAAAGGCTTTGCCACATTCTCTACATTCATATCGCTTCTCTTTAATAACAGTTTTCTGATTTGCATTATGTTTTTCAGTATGAACTTTCTGATGTTTATTAAGGGTGGAACTCTTAGTGAAGCCTTTTCCACACTCACTACACTCAAAGGCTTTTTTGCTAGACTGCAACCCCAGACTTGGAACAAAAGAGGAGCTCATGGTGCAGAGCTCTGCAGGTTCATCACCTTCCTGGTCACCAAGCACAGACGGGGTTTTCTGGGGAGCAACAGCCACTTGACCTCCATGCTGCCATTCCAGTAGGCCATCGTATTTCCAGTGACTGCCTCTAGCAAATCTTTCCTTTATCACCCACTGATCCAAGTCTTCTCCAGGAATATCTGCCTTGGGAGTAGATGTCTTACTCACAGGCAGTGTCATCCAGTCTGAAAGACATCAAACATAAAAAAAAAAAAAACTGTTTTATCCCGGGAAAACACCCAGCCGGGGCTAGAAGATGAGACTGTTTATGATGCTAACAAAGAGGCTACATTTTTGAAGGCTTCTTGAAGTGAAGATAAGAAAGGAAAGGGAACGGGCACCTGAGTGGCTCAGTCAGTTAAGCATCTGACTCTTGGTTTCAGCTCTCAGGTCATGATCTCGTGGTTCGTGAGACTGAGCCTCATGTCAGGCTCTGTGCTGACAGCATGGAGCCTGGTTGGGATTCTCTCTCTCTCTGCCCCTCCACTATTCACGCAAGTTCACTCTCATTCCCTGCTCTCAAAATAGATAAATATTTAAAAAAAAAAAAAAAAAGGGAAAAGAGAGGTAAACAGGATGTGGCAGGAAGGGGTTGATTTAATGTATAATGTATGAAGCAGGACAGCTAGGGAGTGTAGGTTGAGAAGTCACAAGCCTGAGTTGGGATCCTGAATATAATACTCAGATTACAGAGAAGTTACTTAGCTTTCTAGGCCTCAAAAAACCCTCTACAGGTAAGAAAAAACATACCTTATCTATTTTACTGGTATGGTCTTTAAAACAACCCAGACATGACTTAAGAAACCAGGGAAACTGGAGGTCAACACTTCATAATTTGACTCTCATAAGTACTAAAAGCAACATTTTAATGTTTTGTATCAGCATCAGATAGCTAATAAAATGGACATTATAAAGGATCTATAAACATTCATCTACAAAAGGCCACCTCCTACTCGTGACGCACAATGTCTTAAAACCTGTATCTTCAAACCGATATGAATAACATAACACCTATATGAGGAAAATGTACCATGAAGGTGTGTATGTGAGGACACACAATTAGGAACAAAGCCACAAATCTGCCAGGAGATACTCAGTATGTGTTGGAGGGCGAGGCCCTGACTCTGGGAAATGAGTATACAGTCACTAGAAATGGACTTGGCTTCTGGGATATGGGCCATGGCCCCACGTGTGATCCGACAAAGTCCTTTCTATCCCTACAGACAAATTCTGCACTTACTCAACATGATACAGGCTTACCTGGGAGATAACTGCAGATTTACTTCTAGATTGCTGCAGTGAAGCAAATACTGCAATGAAGTGAGTCAAATGAATTCTTTGGCTTCCCAATGCATATAAAAGCTATGTTTACACTCTACTGTAGTCTATTAAGTAGTGTAGCAGTATGTCCAGAAAAATGCCATATATTCCATAGTTAGAAATTACTTTATTGCTAAAAGATGCTAACCAGCATCTGAGCTTTCAGCGAAATCATTTTGCTAGTGGAGGGTCTTGCCTTGATGATGGCTGCTGGGGCGCCTGGATGGTTCAGTCAGTTAGGTGGCCGACTCTTGATTTCAGCTCAGGTCACGATCTTAAGTTTTGTGAGATTGGGCCCTATGTTGGGGTCCGCACCGACAGCGCAGAGACTGCTTGGGATTCTCTCTCTCCCTCTCTCTGTCCCTCCCACGTGCCTGCACATGTGCTTGCTCTCTCTCAAAATAAATAAACTTAAAAAAAATAAGAAAGGACGATGGCTGCCAAATGACGGCTGTCGAAGGCTGGCGTGGTTGCAGCAACTTCTGAAAATAAGGCTAACAATGAACTCTGTCGCATCGAGGGATGCTTCCCTCTCAGAAACAATTTCTCCGTAGCAGCAGATGCTGTTTGACAGCATTTTGCCCACAGAACTTCTTTTAAGCTTGAGAGCCAATCCTCTCAAACTCTGCCACTGCTCTATCAACTAACTTTATGTCACGTTCTAAATCCTGTGTTGTCATGCCAAAAACCTTCACAGCATCCTCATCAGGATGTAGACTCCATCTCAGGAAACCCCTTTCTTTGCTCATCCATAAGAAACAACTCCTCATCCATTCAAGGTTCACCATGAGACTGTAGCAATTGGCTCACACCTTCTGCCTCCACTTCTAATGCTAATTCTCTTGCTGTTCCCACCACATCTGTGGTTACTTCCTCTGCTGAAGTCTTGAATCCCTCAAAGTCATCCATGAGGGTTGGAATCAACTTCTTCTACTAATGTCTGTATTTTGACCTCTGAACCACAAATGTTCTTAATGCTACCTAGTAGGACAGTGAATTCTTCCCAGAGGTTTTCAATTTTACTGCAAGAATTATCAAAACGTGACACAGTGATATGAAGTGAGTATGCGCTGTTGGAAAATGGCACCGATAGATTAGCTTGATGCAGGGTTGCCGCAAACCTTCAGTTTGTAAAAACTGTGTATCTACACAGCACAGCAGAATGAGGAATGCCTGGATTAACAAGCATACCAGTTTTCCTATGTATTTGTAAATATCTGCCTGTTTTGTTAAGTCTATTTAAGACTCTGTGCTAAGACAGCAAAGGAAACAACCCACAAAACTAATAGGCAACCAACGAAATGGGAAAAGATAGTTGCAAATGACATATCAGATAAAGGGTTAATATCCAAAATCTATAAGGAACTCACCAAACTCCACACCCGAAAAACAAACAACCCAGTGAAGAAATGGGCAGAAGATATGAACAGACACTTCTCCAAAGAGGACATCCAGATGGCCAACAGACACATGAAACGATGCTCAGCATCCCTCCTCATCAGGGAAATACAAATCAAAACCACACTGAGATACCACCTCACGCCAGTCAGAGTGGCTAAAATGAGCAAATCAGAGAACTCTAGATGCTGGCGAGGATGTGGAGAAACGGGCACCCTCCTACACTGTTGGTGGGAATGTAAACTGGTACAGCCCCTCTGGAAAACAGTGTGGAGGTTCCTCAGGAAACTAACAATAGAACTCCCCTATGACCCAGCAATAGCACTGCTAGGAATTTACCCAAGGGATACAGAAATGCTGAGGCATAGGAGCACATGTACCCCAATGTTCATAGCAGCACTCTCCACAATAGCTAAAACATGGAAAGAGCCTAAGTGTCCATCAACAGATGAATGGATCAAGAAGATGTGGTTTATCTATACCATGGAATACTACATGGCAATGAGAAACAATGAAATCTGGCCATGTGTAGCAACATGGATGGACCTTGAGGGTGTTATGCTGAGTGAAACAAGTCAGGCAGAGAAGGACAAATATCATACGTTTGCACGTATAGGAGGATTAGGAGGAACTTAATGGAGGAACATGGGGGAGAAGAAGGGGAAAATGGTGGGGGAAAGGGAGAGAGGCAAACCATGAGAGACTCTTGAATGCTGAGAAACAAACTGAGGACTGATGGATATGGGGGGGGAGGGGGAAGATGGGCATGGAGGAGGGCACTTGTGGGGATGAGCACTGGGTGTTATATGGAAACCAATCTGACAATAAACTATTTGTAAAAAAAAAAAAGGAAATAAAAACACTTAAATGTTTAGTTACAAGAAATAAAAAAATGTATAAATGTAAAAAAAAAAAGACTGTGCTAAGAAACGAGACAAGAAGAACTAGACACTATACACCAATGATGCAAATTCTTAGGAAATCCTATCATGCAAGAACAAGCCTCCCTCATCACTTTTTTTCTCCCTAAACACTCCAGAAACATCTACAAAGAGCTATAATCCATGAAACAAAACAAAACTAAACAACCTCCTTCACTTATCTGGTAAAGAAAGTTAAAGCAGGTGCATTTTAAAGCTACAGTCCTGGTGAGCTCAGAATAATACATCATTGCTGAAAACAAAGAATGGTCAGTTAAACACCAGGACTGCCAAATTTAAGGTTTTAAGGGCTGACTCGCTTTTGGACCTGATAGAGTGGCCTGCGGGAGACACTGCTGCAGAAAACAACTGGAAAATCTTAACTGAGAAACAAAAACTCTGTCTAAAGGCATCAGATGTCACTTGAGGCCAACTTGATAGTCTAATATTTCGAAGAGAAGGGCAACAGGTAATCCCCACACTTACTGGGTTTTTCCTTATAGAATCTGCTGAATTCTGAAACTTCTCAGGGGAAGAAACCAAACCTAAGGAGAACTTCAAAATTTTCTAGTCTTAAGATACTTTGGAGCCAACAGTTGGTTAAGTGCCTGACTTCGGCCCAGGTCACGATCTCACAGTTGGTTAAGTTCAAGCCTCACACTAGGCTCTGCAGTGGCAGTGTGGAGCCTCCTTTAGATTCTGTGTCTCCCTCTCTCTCTGCCCCTCCACTGATCACACTCAACCTTCTCTCAAAAATAAATAAATAAACATGAAAAAAAAAAGAAAAAAGATACTACAGAGCCAAAAACGGAGACCAGGACCTTCCAAGGAAGGGGGCGGCGGTCATACATGTGAAGTTCTCAGCTGGCACTCGTGGAGGGCGGCAAGGACAAACCAGAGACAAGTAAAGCTTTAGAAGCACTGCAATCTCCAGGTAACATGTTCCTGCTGGGATTAAGGTGGTTCCCTTGTACCATGGCTATCTACCAGAGGAAAAGGCAAATCTTCTCTGGAGGAGGAGAACAGTACCCAGAGCCTCTTCAGTACCTCAGATCCAGTATCAGGGATTCAATCCAAATGCACCAGGAATACAAAGCAATTAAGTCAAGAGAGAAAAACAGATAATAGACAAAGACCCACAGAACTCAAATACCAAGGTTATCAGACATGGGTTTTAAGATACGTGTGATTAACATGTTCAACAAAATAGATAAGAATAAGAGTTCCAATAGAAGACTGGAATCAATGAATCAAATGAAAATTCTAGAACTGAAGAATATAAATAATTGAAATTAAGAACTGAACAGACAGATTTAACAGTAATTAGACATAGCAGAAGGGAGCAATAGTGCCCTGGAAAAATACATAAGCAGAAAATATCTATGATAAAACTTGCAGAAAAAAAATTAAAAGAGACAGAGAAGGCATGATGAAGAGATTGAATATATGTGTGACAAGTTCTGGAATGGGGGAAGGAAGAGGGCAAAAATATTGTTGGAAAAAAATAATAAAGGCTGAAAAATGAATGTGAGAAGCACTAGAGATTC